TGTTAAACTGAGATTCTCACACCATTCCCATTCTTCTCTAACACACATCCAAGATGGCAGCTGATTCTGAAGCTGGGTTCAACACCAAGACTCTGGTAATCTGCACCCTGGACCTATTTGAGGCTGGGACAGAGTCTTCTGCCACCACGCTGCGCTGGGGCCTCCTCTATATGATGAAGTATCCAGAAATTCAGAGTAGGCCACAGGAAATGACACGTTTTCCTTCAGGGCATCGGTTTTTACACCAGACGTCAGGGATTCAGAGCAGCTGATTGTCAGTGTCAGCAGCCTTCATTCTTATAACATACAGATTACTGGTCTTCCAGGCTAGAAAAATGTAGCATTTGTATTTTTAATTTTGTGAATTAGGAAAATCGTTTAAGAACTCCTCATGCCTAACACAGAAAAGGAGTAAAATAACTTGTACAGTGGTACCTCAAAACTCGAACTTAATCCGTTCAGAACTCCGGATCGAATCCTAAAATGTTCGAGTTCTGATCGAATTTTCCCCATAAGAAATAATGGAAGACCAATTAATTGGTTCCCGGCCCCAAAAAATTACACCTAAATATGTTTTCTTTAGCATTTAAACACAAAATGAACCAGATAAAAGAAGAAGAGCATATACTGTACTAAACACATCTAAGCACATTTATCAAAACAGTAATTTGTCCAATTTATCCAAACAATGTGTAAAGTTAAAATAAAACAATGTGTTCTGCCCCGATCGTCCGCTCCTTCCGTGTGCCACGCCCCCTCGTTAACCCCGTGTGGAATCCCCGATTCCCCGTGTGATCAGCTGTTTCTGGTTTTTGTCATTAGTCCTCTGTCTTTAGTCCATGTTTCAGTTTGTTTCCCCAGTCCGGTTATTGTATTGTCCGTCTGCGTTTTGCCTGCCTTACCCGTAATTAAACCCCATATTCCCCGATACGCTGATGTCTGCGCCTTTATCTCCGTTCCGTCCCCGCTTGGCACGACAATATTATAATTAAACGTATTAATGTTTTTTTTTTTTTTTTTTTTTTTTTTTTTTTAATGTGTCCTGTCACAGCCAATGCGAGGCTGAGACTGAAGCGTTAACCTTTGTTTCCGCTGAGAGACGTGCTGCGTGACTCATTTCCCCGCGTGTACAAGTTATCTTAGGTCGGCGTTCATGGTTTGACTTCTGAGATTCAGATCGAGTCCTAGGTAATTTTTTTTCGAACTGGTTGGTTCGACTTTTAAGAAATTCGAGTTCTTATGAGTTTGAGAACTGAGGTACCACTGTATTTCCTAATTTTCCAAATGCCTCAATTATTTTCCACATAATTAGTATTTAAAGTATTCTAAACTATATTTTCAAAACATGTATTATGCTCAAAAGCCGACATTTCAGTTTCTCTGGGCTGTAGTTTTTCCTGCTATATTCAATCACCTCTGATGCATAAGTGAAATATAAGGTGCTTCACTGCTGCTCTGCTTATGCACAGAGAAAGTCCAGGCTGAGATTGACAGAGTGATCGGACAGGCGCGGCAGCCCTGCATGGCAGACCGGCCGAACATGCCGTACACCGACGCTGTCATCCACGAGACGCAGAGGATAGCTGACATCTTGCCTCTAGGATTCCCCAAAATGACCAGCAATGACAGCACACTGGGGGGGTACTTCATACCAAAGGTAAGACAGAAACTGAACAAAAACTGCATGCATTCTTGAAATTGCATGTAAAATGTCACCACAGGCAGCTGTCATGATGAACCATGAATCCTGCATATGGACTATGTGCTTCATGAAAATGTTACACCAACGGCAGTACAGAAGGTGTGTGGTCTTTGCATGAGTGCATTCCTGACAGACGGTTGCTGTTCCCCCCTGTAGGGGACGAGTATAACCGCGATCCTAACCTCTGTACTGAAAGATAAGTGCGAGTGGGAGACTCCGAACACCTTTAACCCGGGGCATTTCCTGGATTCCCAGGGCCAGTTTCGGAGACGGGATGCATTCTATCCTTTTTCAGCTGGTAACTCACTTCCTTTCCACTTATTAAACTAGAGGCACTTTTTCACAATCAAACATGGTCTAAGCCTAAACAAAGAAACACTGTTTCCAGTTAATGGTCTCGTGTGGTTGTCATGCTTTCCCCAGGACCAAGGGCGTGTCTGGGGGAGCAGCTGGCTCGGATGGAGCTCTTCCTGTTCTTCACCTCCCTTCTCCAGCGCTTCACCTTTGCTCCACCCCCTGGAGAAGAAGTTGACATAGAAGGAGTGCTTGGGTTCACCTATTTCCCAAAGCCCTACAAGATGTGTGCTACACCCCGCTGAGCTTCTACACAGGAATAAACAGCACCAGGCTACGGGAAGCACATTAAGAAGCACATCCCTGCGTAGATCCTCCACAAAACTTTTATGATCTCATAAGTTTCAATAGCTATTAAATTTGTTTGTGATGTATGCTAGTCAATTAAAGCCTATGTATTCATCAGTAGGATGCATGCACTATATGTAAAATAATATAGAAGTATAGAAATAATATAAGTATTATACACTATATAAAGGAAGTTTATCATAAGGCGCTTTCAAAAGACCTAAACATACATTCTGTAATGCATTCTGTACAAACTTCAAAAGATTGACATTCAATGAAAGATGATTAGTGTCACGTGTGAAACAAGATTGCATGGAAGTTTTGTGAAAGGGAAGGTGCCCTATGAAAATGTCAAGGGTGAACAACCATATTGACAAACACCAAAAACAGCCTTTCAGGAAAATACTTTTCTGGAAAAGTATGGAAGTTCAAAAATAGAAGAAAAAGGGTAAGAAGTAAAGTAGGAGTTGAAAGTTTTGCAATTAAGTCACAGTAAACCGAAAAAAACAACAAAAATGAAAAAAAATACTGAATTAAAATTCAGAGGTGGAAAATTCAGGTCCAGAAAGTACAAATCCAGACCAAGGTTTTATTTCAAACAACCAGCTAGTATAAAGAGTCACAGTCACAGTACTCAACTGGTTGGCTGAAACAAAACCTTGGTCTGGAAAACCATTCTTGACCAGAACTTTCCACCTCGGCTAAAAATGAATGGTTTTATTTACAGTATATACACAGGATTTAACCACTTCACATTAGAGCATATGCAAATTAAGAGTAACTATAAAAACCAGTAATAATTTTGTTGGTTTCTGAAAAGTTACTGATATCTAGCTGGATGGGGAGACTTCCATGTATGTATTAAATTTCACCACCAGCTCACTTAATTAATTGAATTAGTTTAAAAAATCAATGAGATATTGACTAGCCCCTGCCTTGCACCAGTAGCCTTTGGGATCAGCTCCAGACCTCCCACAACTCTGAATAAGATAAGCGGTTTCAGAAATGGAAATGGATGGATGGAAGAGAGTAAAGGTCCAGACCAGGATTATGTTTCAACCAGCCAGTTGAATACTGTGTGACTGTAATTCTTTATACTCAACTGGTTGTTCGAAACAACTGGTTGATCTGGACTTTTACTCTCTGGACCTGAATTACCCAACTCTGGATGGAAGAATGGATCTGCTACAGTATACTAGATCTGCTAGTTACCAAGTCAAAAAATACATGGGTGCACTGAATGGTTGCTGCAAATACTGGGGTCATTTTTAGCAGAAGTTTTAAAATAACTAAGCTATCACACTTTGACAGGCATAATAGCATAGCTTTACACCAACATGAATATCATTTAAACATTTTCTTTGGCTGCCTAAGACTTTTGCACAGTACTGTAGATGGACACATCAGGAGCCATTTGAAGTAGCATTGCTTCAAATGTAAAATCTTTTATGATTTTCGGTTCAATTTTTAAGAGTAACATGAAAATGGCTGCCTTAATGTCCAGAGCTCCAAGGTTTCTGTATGAAACTAAAGCCATCAAGTGGGGCTTCAACCAGATGAACAGTGCCTGTGGGTCTGAGTCACGTTTAGTTCATAAGCACAGGTCGACATCAGTGTCAAACACCATGCCGTTGACACGAGAGACAGAACGTTCAGTAAGGAGCATTTTATGTTGGGTTCATGTTTTGGCTCATTTAATCTTATCATTGGGATTGATATTAAAGATTTTTGTGCTGGTTTTGCTATCATTAGCTGGACGCTCATGAGTGACAATCCACTTTCAAAATGATAACATCCCTCAGAAAGTTCCAGAATACTCTACGTAAGATCCAAATTAGGTGTAGTAGCCTATTTTTCTTTTCACTAAATTTTTTTACGTAACTTTGTTCACTCACGAATATGATTAATAGTTTGATCAAAAACATATGAGCACTACCTATTTTAATTCTTTTTTAAGCTAGCAAAGAGGAGCTGGTTGCTGCAATAATATATGCCGGTAGTTTATTTTTAAGCCATTTGTTTATGTATATGTACAACTGTCTGTTAATAAAAGTGCCTGTGTGACACTGGGGACAGTTGACTCTGACTGTCTTTTCGTTATCTCTTTATGGAAAGGATATTGAGATATATTTCATATATATTCCCGTTCAGCTAAAAAATATTGATTATTGGCCAATATCGCCCAACCGTAATATATAGTATTTAGAGTCTGAAGTGATTTTTGCAGGCCACCAGATGTCACTGTTCAAAGTCTTTCAATGCCTCAAATGCTTCAAGTAATTTTCCAACACATTCCAAATGAATCTCCAAAGCTTAATGAGGCATTGCTCGCTCAACTCTAGAGAAAGTTATCAGCACAGGGGCCTCTAGTTATAATATTATATATAGGAGCATTCAACTCTGTTTCTATAAACTTGCTAGATGTATGGGATGCCGTATGATAAAGCACCTGGGTTACAAAAGTTCTTTTTTTTTTTTTTTTTTTACAAAAGTTCGGAAAGGCTAAACACATCAGCAACTATGAAAACATGCCAGCATATATGAAAACATACCAGAAAATACAAAAACACAACAGCAAATATGAAAACACAGCAGCAAATATAAAAACATGTCAGCAAATGAGAAAATGCCAGCAAATATGAAAACACTCCAGCAAAAACGAAAACTCTACAACTTTAGCACCAGTGAAAACAGAAAGGGTATGTACCTACTGATCATCATGTGCTTGTTTCTGATTGGAAAGGAAACTTGTCAATCGGCCGACAGTTGTAACTATAGTTACAGGAGCTCCTGCTCCACCCCCCAAGGTTCCTGTGCCGGCGGCTCCTGCTCCGACCCTCCAAGGTTCCTGTGCCGGCGGCTCCTGCTCCGCCTTCTGAGGTTCCTGTCCCGGCGGCTCCTGATCTGCCCTCCGAGGTTCCTGACCCTACTTCTGTACCCCCAGCTCCCATGATCCCCGTCCCCATGGAGGTCCCCAAATTCCCCGGACCCTGTTCCCATGCCCCCGGCTCCCATGGCCCCAGTCTCTGTTCCCAAGGAGGCCTCGGACTGTCAGACCACCGCTCCTTCTCCCTTGGTGGAGGAGGACCTCGAATGGGACCCCTTGGGGATTTCCCTGATTGCTCCTCTAAACTCCTCCCGTGGGTCACCCCAGCCACCACTCCAGCGTGGAAGATCCCAGCCAGGACCTCATCTCTCTGTGTCCTGAGGAGGGACAGGATACCTGCTCAGGGGTCGGGTCCTGCCCACCCTGCCCCCCCGGCTCACGTTTGGTCCCCTTGGCTTTGGCCAAGGCACAATGAAATCTGGGGAAAGAAAAGCAAAAACATCAACAAGGCACGGAGAACAGCACAAACACACAGAACAGGCACAGGGGCAGCAACCAAGACACCAGCTGAGACACTACAGGGAACACAGACAGACACAGAGGCACCAATGATGGAAACACAGAACACAAGGAGGGGGATAATGAAGGGACAACACCAGGGGACAAACCAACAGGAGGAACAAGGGGACCAGGAGGGAACAAGGGCAGAGTGAGATTGAGTGGTTCACAGCTGATTGAAGGATCAGCCTCAAGAACCATGGACTCAGAGATGGCTAACATCCTAGCCAAAGGATCAGCTTTAAACAACTGCTCAAAGTAGCCGGCCCAGTGGGTCACAACTGCAGTGTCATCTGTAAGGATCATTCCATCATCCGCCCTGACTGCAAGTCTCCAAGGAACAGATGTACATAATGCTTGAATTCCTCTGTTAGCAGAACGTGGGTCACTAGACCACGGATGATGTGTCTCCGGCTCACTGATTCGTCTAACAAATGCCTCCTTATCAGCCCTCAGAACCGTCATGGACATCCTCCTCAGTTCCCGGTACAGAATGGAGTCGCCACCAAGTCGTACACTGCGACTCTTCTCAATAATATCCAGGGTGCCCTGTGAGATGAAACACTCCCTTCTGGGAACACCGGGCAACACCCTCAGCAACCTTCAGAGTCTTATCACGGAAGGTCTCCCACATTACATTAGAGTTGGCAGTCGCACCCAAGTCTGCAAGTTCTTCACACAAACTACATGCAAACTCCTCAGAAACAGCCAGATCTTGGAGTCTGGCCAAGTCCAGGCTCATTCTGCTTGTAGGCGGTAGCCTACTGAACCGAAGCTGAATCTTTAGAGTAGCATGAAGTCCATGGTTAGAATTCACAAACTGGCCACTTTTGTAGACCCTGCAATTCTGCAGGGGCCTCCAGCATCTGCCCACGAGGATGTGTTCTATCTCCTTTGTCACACCAGCATTGGAGTACCAAGTCCAACGATGTGGTTCAGGGCATTGGAACCAGGATCCAGCGACCCGCAGCCCCTGAACTTTCACAAACCCATGACCAGAGGAGAGTCACCTCATGGGCACCCATCAACCACTAAGTGAAGCTGCAAGTAAGAGGTCTTCCTCAATGAGACATTGCGGTAGAGGTATACACTGAGGAGCCGATCCGCCACAGCAACAGCTACTCCCTGAGTATGGCAGCCATCAGTGTGACCAAAGAAAAAGTAGGTGTATCCACCTACAGAGATCTGACAACTCCCCGGCCTGTATACCTCAGAAAGTGCTGCCACCAATATACAGAATTTAAGAAGCTCCCCTGACAGCGAGAGATAGTGGTCATCTTGCCAGAGAGACAAGACATTCCACGCGGCTACCCAGATTGGCCACCTCAAACTGGGACCCAAGTGCCGCTATGCAGCGGCCGATGACTTAGCACCACACCAGCCCCGATCCCCAACAGGCCTGACCCTATTAGGTCTCCGACGGTTTCAACTCTTCCAGGCAAACTCTTTCCGTTTATCTTCTCTTTTCAAGACTTTTCTTTAGCAGTGGGTACATATGGAAAACTTGCAACTCAACCAGCCTTCTGGAACAAAATAAGTTAATGTTCCAAGGTACCACTGTACACTGATTAAGGAGATTCTCTTGTGCAAATCACATGTACTAACAGGCTGATGTTCCTACTTCTGGTCACTACTACTAGTACCTAAGCTACATACCTGAGTAAATCAACACCCTAATGGCAACTGTATTCACTTATCTATGTACAGTGTATACATTTCTCCAGAATTCTTTTTCAAATTGAATTTTTTACATGGTTCCCAAAAAATTGCAAAATTGTATATTTAAATGTTTTGAATTTTTAATTAAATGTTTTAAAATGAAACAGTCTAACACAAGTTTTGGCATGAATTATTGAAATCATTAATGGGTTATTTAAATGTTTTAAGCATATAATAAAGCAAAAAATGTTTTTCCTTTTTCATGAATAATTCATAAAATACAACGTGACATATTCTGGGATTGGTTTAGATGTCTATAATACAATAATCCATTTAAAATCTGCCTTACAAAATAGACACTATTGCCTGATCTGACCTCCCATGTACAGGTTTTATACACAGTTTACGAGGTTAATTATTAACTGATTATTTGAATGGATTAAAAGGGGAACTCAAAGATGTGAAATACAAAATGATACATTTTCAGATTTTTCCCTCCAGGATAGCCATGCAACCGCTTGTTGTGCAAACATGAAACAATGCCGCAGTTGTCTTTGCGGAGTTACTGGCACAGGTTCTTTACAGCCTTTGTTATATAATGGCTTGCTTTCTTTGTGTACAAAGTGCAGGACACAGCAGTACTCCATAACTGAGTTAAATTTCGGGACAAGTAGCCGTGGCAGTGAGCTTTTTAGCCTTTGCGCTGCGGTGCTAAGTGCTCCTTGTCTCGCTATGTGGCTGTCTCTCTTACTGACCGTGTTTGATATCAAAGCACTACTGCTCTTCCTCGTCGCATTTCTTCTCGTCACAGACTACCTGAAGAATCGGAACCCCCCCTGCTTCCCCCCAGGGCCCTGGGCACTGCCGTTCTTGGGAAATGTCTTCAACATCGACATTAAACAGCCTCACATTTACCTGACCAAGGTGAGCAAGAGTTTTGCTCTTTCAGTCTGACAGCTGGTATAACATGCTAATCTTCCCTATTAGCAATGTTTCTTAAGTCGAATGACAGTGGAAGGGAAAGATTCAAAAGTTGTATACAAGTTTTAAATAAATGTTACATAAGAAAAATAATTTGGCAGTTACAAATGTGTTATTGTTCAAATCTGATGTTGTGTTACATCCAGTATTGCATCTGAGAAACAAATAGTAATGTTAAGATTACTATACTTATAAAATTGGGAACTATCATGCCTGTTGATCAAGCAAGTACAAAATCAAGATTTTTTAATATATATCTATGTTGCTGTGCAGGACACACAGCACGTACATTATTTATTGAGTACTATCACACTAACCCGGCTCATCTTTAGTCACATCATCAGAGTCAGTATGAGTGGAATGCAGAGCACAAGCTGAAGCCCAATTAAACGCATTTGACCTTTTTTAACCCGAAGCTGGCCAGCGTCTATGGTGACGTCTACAGCCTCCGCCTGGGCAGGGATAAGGTGGTGTTTGTAACAGGCTACAAAATGGTGAGGGAGGCCCTGATCAGCCAGTCTGAGAACTTTGTGGACAAACCTCCCAGCCCCATGGCTGAAAGGCTGTATTCAGGAAATGGCAAGTCAACCCATTCTTTCTTATCAGCCCTTGGCTGTCCCTGGAGTGATGGTCATGTGATTAGGCTGTCATTGCTCACTTCATTCCCCATGTCTCTTTCTTCTGCAGAATGTGTTTAAATTAGTCTATATCAACCCGCCTTATTGCTTGCCATGTGCCTTCAATCATGTTCGAACCCAATAATTGTTGAATAATTCAGTCCTCACATAGATCTCATTGCCTGTCCCATCCTGCAACACATTTTTGGTTTTTTATTGACCAGAGACAAACTCAGAGAGAGACCCGTGTTCAGGCTATTACAGTCCACCAGCAAACACTGTATAAAATAGTTTATCTTCTCTTTCCAGGACTTTTCTTCAGCAATGGGTACATATGGAAAAGACAAAGGAGATTTGCTCTCTCCACCCTGAGATCTTTCGGACTGGGAAAGAAGTCCCTGGAATCAGTCATCATTGAGGAAAACAGATTCCTTCAAGAGGAGCTTGAAAGAGTGAACGGTCACATACATGGACTGCTATAAAGCCTGATTTCTGCCATGCAATCTCTCTGAAAACAGCCCAGGTTCCTTGGGAAAAGGATGCTCGGTAATGGTGTCTTTGTTCCATCTCACACCTTAGGTCAGCCCCTGGATCCACACATCCTTCTCAACAACGCCGTCTCCAACATCATTTGCCACCTGGTCTTTGGACATAGGTTTGAGTACAGTGACCAGAAATTCCAGATGCTGCTCAAACTGCTGTCAGAAGCGATTTACCTGGAGGGATCCATATGGGCACAGGTAGTGAAGGCCATTTCCATGCTTCTGCTTTATGAAATGATGGCAGCAGTTGCTTAAATAATTCAATTCATAACATACTCCACAAAGCATGAAGCAGACAACTATAACATTAAGAGCTTGAAAATATTCAACAACAGTGCATGATTGGTAAATCCAGCAAAGGTTAGAGTCAGGGACATTCTCATACATTTATTGATTTAGCTGACACTTTTATCCAAAGCGATGTAAAATTAAGAGAGGAGGGTCAGCCTGTCCCTGGAGCAATTGAGGGTTAAGGGCCTTGATCAAGGGCCCAACAGCAAAATCACACTACCGGCCTTGGGGATTTAAACCCTCAACCTTCCCTTCACAGGCACACCATCCTATCCCACTGAGCCACAGACCATGTCACTGATGCATACTGAAATGAAGGAGCATCAGACTAGCCAATGAGTCACATTTATTTTTATCCACGTCTTCTTACCAATTGACAGGAACAAAGATTTTCAAGTGGCAGGACCATCTGATGGCAGTTTCCAGCTTAAACCAGGCCCATAACCAGAAATTAATTTCAAGGGGAGTCTGGCATATTTAAAGGGTGGTTCAAACTCATAATTTTACTACAACGTGCCTGGTTCTATCACATCTCTTTTTCTCCAGCTGTATGAGGCCTTTCCATCTGTGATGAGGCTCCTCCCAGGCCCCCATAACAACATCTTCAGTCATATCAGCAAGATCTGTGCCTTTGTGAGAGAGGAGCTGGAGAAGCACAAGGAGGACTGGGACGCATCTTCCCCCCGCGACTACATCGATGTCTTCCTAGCGGAGATAAAGAATGTAAATCGAAGCCGGACACAGACAGCATGTACCGACAGCGAAATGAGAGTGTAAAAGCTGATAACTTTGTTCGATCCAACCTTTGTCAGAATACCGAAGACCCAGAGGCCGGATTCAACGAGACCAACCTGACCCTCTGTGCCCTAGACCTATTTTTGGCCGGGACTGAGACCACATCAACCACTCTGCGCTGGGCTCTGCTCTACATGAGCAAGTACCCTGAGATTACAGGTCAGGGTGGCCCAGTCACACTAACTTATGTAAAGGCCATATACCATACCGATAAATGGTGCAGATAAATCAATGACATTAAAGCAGTGGCACTTATTTCAAAGTAACATTTTCCATATAAAGCTTAATATCATGACCATAGCACTGGAATGACAAAAACACAGGAACATGAGAGTATAACAGACACTAGGAATAAAATAAAATACGACGAATTGGATTAGAATGATAAAGATTTATTAATCCCACAGTTGGGAAATTTGCATTGTTACAGTAGCCAAGGACAGTACAGGAGGAATAAATGTAGCATAACAATACAATCTTACAATAAAGACTGTACATTAAAAGAATATAAACATGTGACATACATACATGTACAAAAGTGGACATCTACAGATACCTCGAAGCAACAGAAATTGTATGATTGAAAATAAACAGCAGCAACAATTGAGTGTTTGGTAGCAGCAGAAATGGAAATCCTGGAACACTGCACAGCCTGTGATATGAAGGAAAAAAATCGTTGCACATTATCAGTCCTTGATTTGTACATTTTTGCGTGTTTATATGTGCATGCAGTCCACTGCATGTCATTCATTACAGTCTGACTAGAAGCTGGAAGCAAAGAAAATTACATAAATGATATGATCGTTATTGTTATGTCATAATTTAAGGTGCAATGTCTGGGATAGGTAGGAGTGATACTGTCCCACCTGTACAGAACCTCGGTGCTTCCTGTTTTACGAAAGATGGTTGCAGTTACTTACTCTCCACAGAGTGTCAAGCTCAACCCTCTTGTCTGGTTGGATGTGTTCTGTGCCAGAAAGGGTCCAGGATGAGATAGACAGTGTGATTGGACGGTCACGTCAGCCCAGCATGGCAGACCGGCCGAACATGCCGTACACCGATGCCGTCATCCACGAGATACAGCGCAAGGGCAACATTGTGCCGCTCAACACCCCGAAGATGGCAAGGAAAGACACCACACTAGGGGGGTTCTTTATCCCCAAGGTGAGCACTACACTGTGAGCTACACTGATGCTCTGGCATCAATCCCTCTTTACAGGTAAACCAAATGAACTTCAGCACATTGCGGGGAAGAAAGCTCTGCTGTTTTCAGCTCAACATATCTCAGTGACAAAATAAAGTACAATGTCAGTCTAATCAAATTCATACAAAATTTACCTAAAATTACCTAAAAAAAAAAAAAAAAAGTATGGGTCATTCCATTTTACTCTTGTTGAATTGAAATGGAATGACCCATATACGAATTCAATGTCAATGTAAATAAACATACTGGCTATGAAATGATGAAAACCCAAATTAAAGTAGAAAAAGTTCTCAATGTTGATCCATCTATGACAGGGGTCATCAACTATATTTGTCAGAGGGCCAGAGTTTTACCAGACAGTCTCCTTGGGGGCTTAACATTATGTTTAATGTTTATACTTTTTCCATTTCATTACAAAACTGAAGGCATTTGATTCAGGCTCCCATACCTATACCACAGTCAACCACTAGGAGTGATAGATATTTTGCCTCAACTCAACAAATATAGTCATAAATGGTGGTTATTCTGACAAGAGACTCAGTTGTTATTTTTAGTTGCTTTAATAGTGTGGACCACTATTTTCTTTTTGATCCTCACAATTTTGGAATCCAGTCGCGGGCCGGATTGAACGGCTCAGCAGGCCGGCCCGCGGGCCGCCAGTTGATGATCAGTGATCTATGAACTTTATCAAAAAACCAGATTAATGGCTTCCTCAGAGCTTATATTTAGCTAAAGCACCTGAGCAAACCAGCAGCCACACCGAATATGGATCTTCAATTCACCTTTCAGGGAACGGCAGTCATGACGAACATGACTTCAGTGCTGTTTGACAAGAGCGCATGGGCTGACCCAGACACCTTCAATCCTGGGCATTTCCTGGATTCCGGTGGGAAATTTGTGAGACGGGACGCGTTCCTGCCCTTCTCTGCAGGTAACTGACAATATCTTTAATGGAATTAACTCTGCCGAGATTCAAGTCACATTATGTTAAAGAAGGAAAAAGAAACCAAACTCACAATCCCCTCCCCAAACATCCACAGGGAAGAGAGTGTGTCTGGGGGAGCAGCTGGCCCGGATGGAGATCTTCCTGTTCTTCACCTCCCTTCTCCAAAAATTCACCTTCTCATTTCTCCCGGGGCCAGAGCCCAGTTTTGTGGGGCAAGTTGGGGCCACTTTAACGCCACTCCCCTTCAAACTGCACGTCACCCTTCGCTAAGGACAGTCTTGATGCGGCAGAGGCAAGGACAGGGATACACGGGTCCTGTTTTTCTGCTGCATTCCACTGCCTACTGTCCTGTGAATGATCCATCTACTGGTTACTCTGCTGTGCTTCATGAAGACCACGCTGTTAAAATTACACTTGAATACACACACCTTCTGTATTTAAAATAATTTTGACTCAACTGCAAAATAAGTCATTAAAGAAAGTGCTGCAGGTGGATTTGTGCTTTAAAATTGGCTTTATTTTATCATGTATTGAGCAAAGGTAAATTAACCAAGTCCTCACAGCAAAACTAAAGCACAGATAGCAACCAAACAATCAGTGAACCCACAGATACATTGATTTGATTTGAGAAGTGCTTTCCAATAGCCGCTCAAAAGTAACAAAAACCAGCGTACACAGTGGGTCATCAGAATCATGTCTAAATTAACAAGACAATTAACAAATATATAATACTTTATTATACTATAAATATGACACTAACGAGTTAAAAAAATTAATGTATTTTATTTTCATTAAGTGCTTCTTTTAGGTCAAATTTACCCAAGAATTACCATGGAAAAGGTTTTTAGATTAAATCTCAATGTTTTAAAATCTTTTAAAAATATCTCAAATCTCTACGGCTCAACTCATATGGCATTTCATTTATATGTGATTTTATGGGTTTATTTTTGGGTTTACACTGATCAATTTCTGCCTTAGTAATAGTAATTTATGTTGCTTAAATCAACTATGGTCATCCAGTATTTTATCATAATGTTTTCATGTTTTTTCAACAAAACAAAAAGACACTTTGTAATCCACTTCATGGATACTTTGTGCATGAATGTGACTATTATATAGTTTAAAAACAACAGGAATTTAAAAAGACTAGCTGAAAGATACAAATTAAATATAAATAGACAACAGAAAAAAAACGGTGGAGAGAATGTTTGAGTGCAATTAGAGACCCCTAGTTTTTGGGCTGGGTCTATTCTTACTGGAACTACTCTAATAAACCTGTATTATATAAAGAAGGAGAAGTCAACTTCTGAATGGAATCACACTATTTGTGTCTGACAGAAATCCCTGTGCACAACTCATAAATATCACAAATGTTGTTTATGTCAAAAGGCAGGAGTGGTTCCTCGTCATTCTGACACCATCCTTTGAGATTTCTACAAATCAGAACAAAAAAACTGAAAGGAACAAAGCCACCTATATAATTTCAACAGGGCATGCAGTAATCAACTCACTCTTTAGGCGAAATAAATAGCACAGGTCGAGCTGGCCCATTTCAAACAACACGTTAAGCACAGTACCCCTTGGAGGGGCCCCGATCCCAGTATATGTGGTGTCTCTATGCGACAGGAGTCTCCCCTTCGAAACGCGTGAACTACAGCTACTGCAAGAAGAGAAGAAGCTGATGTCCAGCACCAATTCGCTTCTATTTTTATATTCTATATTTTTGTACATTTAACCCCAAGAAGAAAAAAAATCCTGTAACAATTATATTATTAAATCTGCTTTATAAAGAATTTTAAACACACTTCTCCTGTCCGCATGTGCCCAAGTTAGTTATATATACACAAGGATGAGAGTGTTCAGCTTTATACAGTTATCACTATGGATACTGAGTATTCACAGAATTTCCCTGACCTGAGATCAGCTACCAGACACAATAGCAAGACCCCAGATGTGACCCGAACCCGCCGTCACAATAAAAGACCCCAGTGCTGGCCAAGTGGCTTTGCGGGTTTGACTTGTGTGGAGTGGAAGCCGTGACCGGGATCCGAGATTCTCGCTCCGGTGCTTAAGGTCACTTGAAGGCGTGTTCGGGGTGAGGAGTGACGTTACTTTGAGGGGGCCGCGGCCACGGGCACACTGACTGACAGGGGGCGCCGGGCATTGGTCACCTGCCGCTGCTGCGCGAGGAAGGATTGGACAGGGGGCGCTGTTGTGGAGTTGGAACGCCCGGCCAGCCGCGACTCGATGGCCATCTTCTGGAAGGTCAGGCTCTGCGGGACACCGCCAGAAAGCAGCCATGACACCCAAAACTCATTAGAGTAACAGAAAGCAGCCATGACACGCAACAAATACTACAGCAGCACATGATATTAATCAATCAGTGTCACAGAGTATTAATGTTAAACATCACAGTTTAAAAAAACAACATACTGTTTATTAGTGTTGTCAAAGTTAACATGTTACATACACACACATTCACACCCACCCACATACACATAGAACGCGCACATACATAGACACGCACACACGTATACACACACACACACACACACACACACACACACACACAATAGGCCAGGGCTTTCTTGCCCTATTTTATCCCTCTCTCCCCTTCTTGTGTGTGTGTGTGTGTGTGTGTGTGTGTCTGTGTGTGTGGCCTCCAACCTTTCTTGTCAGATGCAGATACTGGTGCGGCAATAACAAGACTGTGTTGCTGTTGGTCTGCTTATGTATTTTTTCTTTGGTATTAATGTATTTAATTCCAGAAGCAGATACTGGCACAAGCTTGTTCTCTGTCATAATGGTACCACTGGTTTCTTTGCATGTATACTTTTTTGTGTGGCACCTGGATCTTGTTTTTCAGATACAGCAGCTGGTGTGATGATACAATGTCCAGCACTAAGATGCAGAAGCTTCCTTTTGTTACTCCTTCCTTTCGCTCTACTTTTTTTTTTAAGTTGTTGTGTATTACTTTTCTTTCCCTGTTTTTCTCTCTCTGTCTGACCCCCCCTTTTTTTTCCTTCTTCTTTCTTCTGTCTCTCTTCTCTTTTTCCCTCTCCTCTTTCTCTCCCTCCTCTCTTCTTCTCTCCTATTTCAGTTAACTTTCCCTGTCTACTCCGGCTTAATAGCGCAATAATCTAAAATGGTGAATAAAGAGTATATCTCAAGTAACAAGAGGAGCTTAATCCGAAGCTCCACTTGTTAAAATAAAAGTGTTGGCACAGTAAAGCACCCAGACTAACATCCTGCTGCTAAACTGCCGACACGACAGGGGTGTAAAAAAAAAAAAAAAGTTAATGTATTAACATTAAAATCATGTTTTTTAAAATTAATTTTAATAATCAAATTAGAGAATAATATAAACAACATTAAATAGATATTAGAATTTAATATCTACAATACAGACTATAATATTTTTTGATGGTATTGCAACATGATTGAGTATGCAATTAATGCCCAAGGAGTGAGATTAATTCTTATTTAAAAAAAATGAACCATGACAGCCCTATTAACAATCTGTGCTCACCCTATTCTTCCATTGCTGTCCCATCAAAATTAACGCAATTAATGTTAACTAGTATCAGGGCTGCTGATTTGTTTGTCTTCCACTCTATGTTGCTACATCTATGTTAAGTAAACCTCAATGTCGGAAATATAAATATAAAGGAGGCTGAAAACATGGAGATGTCTCAACGCTAAGTGTTTGCTGTGTGTCATGCAGAGTGGTGCAGCTCCCCACCAATCAGCTCAAAGCTGTGTGATGACCGCGTCGCCTGTGACCGGCCTACCTTGTTGTACCAGGCCGTCACGATGAGTTTCTCCTCATACTCACGGAGTTTCGCCTGCTCACACTCACGCTACACAGGGAAGAGGAAGAAGTTGCCATTGTTATCATCATCATCATCATCATCAACATCATCAAAAATGTTATCAACATCACCCATCATCATCATCATCATCATCATCATCTTCAACACACAGCTCAGCCTAACACATCTCTCTTCTAGCTGACCAGGCTTGGACCGTACCTCAAGACTCAAGATTCTTCTATCTTTTTCCAGCAGCTGGTTTTTCAGGGCCTGGATTTCAGCTGTGGCCGGGTTCAGTTTGGGATCCAGGGCCCTTATGACCTGTGAGTGACCATCAAGAGCAAAAATTGAAGCAGACACATAGACCCGTGCTGTACTCACACCTATACATGTCAATCCTCTCCCTTGTTGGGCCTGCTGCTGGCGGTCTGCTCCTCAGGGCTCCCGCCCTCAAGCTGAAGGTCCTGACTGGCATGACTTACGTTCCGGGCTTTCTCCAGGTACATCTTGTAGCGCTCCTCCATCGCCCTCATGTCTTCATCCTTTTTCTTCAGAGCACCAAGCAGCTCATCAATCTTCAGGGCTTCAGGGAAAGATAAAAGGACAGCTGGTCTTTCACTCAAGGAACTTTCTTTAGGAGGTGAGTGTTGGCTGGAGGTAAAGACATCACCTGAAGGAACCTTCCTGATATTACAAACAAGAACGATGAGCGTTTGACGTATGATCCACCCCCCTCTGCTGACAAATAACAAACATAATGACCACAGGGCCAGATATAAGGGGATTCATTTTACTAACTGGTCTGCGTGCTGTCTGGCTGCAGATCTTCAAGAAGCTCCTTCTTCTTCATGATTTCATCCTGAGCCTCGTTCAGCTGCACCCTTGAAAAGATCTTACAGCTCATATCTCATATCCACCTGCCCAACTGCCTGGTCATCAAAAAAAAAAACACCATGCTATTTCAATTCTACAGTCCTACTTACATGTGAGCATCCAGTTTCTTCTTCAGATGCGACTATAAATAAAAACAGAGGAGCTGTTAAAGCAGAAGAGGACCATAGCGATGAGCCATTACATGCTTCTAGAAGGAATACAACTGCTTCATCTCCATCACTATCTACCTTTACTTATATAACTAGTAATAAATATGAATGAAATTCAACCAACATCTTCAGTTTTGGATCCTTGGCCTTGCAGGGCTTTCTGGAGGTCTTCCACCTGGAGCTGCAACTCAGAGATTCTCTCCTGGTTCAACCTGAGGGAATGACAGACCATGAAGCCTGTCTTATTGCATTACAAACAGTACTTATCCAAGTGCTTTAGGTGTCTACAGCGTGTTATATGCAGAAATCCCAGTAAAACTGCAAGAAAGGCAAAAACTTAACCTCAATGCTACCATCCCTTCCCACAAGATATTTATGGACTGGTGGACATTGTCTATTTCTTGGACAGCACCGGTCCATCATTCTGCTTACATCACCGGTACCATGTCATGAGAGCTACACTGAGTCTCCTACAATGAAAATGAAGCTTTATTATGCATCTGTATAAGTACATTGGAATTCTTTAGTTTTCACATATCCCATCATGCTCTTTCTTTTTAAGACAAACACACATACAGAGGTGAGTGAAGCTTGGGGTCAGACTGCAGGGTCAGTCCCTGGAGTATTTTTCAGGAGGTCTAGGGCCTTGCTCAGGAGCCCATGAACATGTGACTACCCTGCCAGTCACAGGATTCAAACCTGTGACCTTTCGATCACAGGCACAGCATCCAAACTCGCTCAGCCACAAAGCTTTTCCATCATGGTGGCACCTGATCTCCGTGTCCAGCTCCGTCCGCTGCCGGTGGGCCTCCTCGAGCCGGGCCTGCAGCTCAGCGATGCGCTCGTTCTCTGATCCCTCTCTGTCCAGGCGCAGCATCTTGTTCTCGTGTTGCAGACGGATGAACTTCTCCCTGCGGGGGGGGCAGAGAGGACTGAGGTAAGGAAACCAAGCACGCATAGTCAGGCCCACAGTGAGGCGCAGAGAGAACCTCAGCAAACTAAAGCTGCAGGTACCTGTACTCTATAGGCAGGAGTTCTGCTGCGAGGTTGTCATGCGTCGCATTTCCAGCAGGAAACATTCCTATAAAGAAAAAAAAATCAGATTCTTCTTTCTTCACAGATGAGTGGGAAAAACATAGCAAGCAATATACATGCTCAGCACTCTGACTTCATAACATACTGAAATCTGACATCACCATGGTAACAAAGCCTCCAATGGCAAACCTGCTTGAATGAGCTGGCTCTGCTGAGCTTGTGTGCAACGCAGCTCCTCATTGGTCTCCTTCAAGGAATCCCGCTCAACAATCACCCTCTGGTTTGGTTAGGGTGGACAAGTAGCCGTGTCACAAAAGAGAATAAAAACATTAAAATGTGCCACATTGAAGAATATTACAAGTAAAAGAATGTAAATTAATCTATGATGCTTATTGTATTGATGTTGGAACTGACAATAGGCTAATTTGATTATGAGCATTACTCATCACTGCATGTTCTGCCATTAACTGTACCTCTTTCTCCTTAATGACAGTATCATATTTCTCCTCAAACTTTTTCATTTCAAAGGCCAAGTTATCGGCCCTCCTGGACTCTTCTGACAACTTCCTGTGCAGCTCCTGGACCTGATATGAAAAGAAAACACTCAATCATCCATCCATCTATCCATCCACCCATCCATCCATCTTTTTCAGTTCAGGACAGAGGTGAGTCTGGAGTCTTTTCCAGGATGCAAAGCCCACAAGGTATGGGACACACTGGATGGAATGCTGGCCCATTTGTGATGCCAAATCACCTAAATCACCTAACAGTACATTTGTAGACTGTGGGTGAAGGATTAAACACTGGATGAAAATGCAGATGCCACAAACAGAGCTGGGGACACTATTTCAACCTCAAACATGGAGGTGTGGCCCAGTGTTACCTGCCCACTGGGGAACCATGATACCCGATCTTTAAGCAGAGGGAAATAATTCTTTTGTGAACCGTCTCATTATGCTTTTTAGTGTCGGTTTCAGAGGTGGGGAGGGCAGGATGAACAGGTGGATTACATACAAGAACCCCTTTGTTCTGGGCGGTCAACAGAACCAGGTGGACTTTCCCTCTCTAGTGATACATGGGGGAGGGGGAACAACATAGCACAAGTAAATATACCAGGAAATTAACGAGGTAAAGTCAAACGTGCGTTGCAAGAGGTGGGACCAAAGGAAATAACGCCACCTGGAGGTCCCTGCACCACATGACGAGAAATGCTGGATATTTCTCCTGACTGATTCTTCAATTGCTAGAATTAGCTACATATCCACACCTGAATCCCTCACGTCATTAGATAAATCAGGTCCCAGACCACTTTCAGCCTCCACACACTGATCTGTTGTCTGTGATCCTTAAGGTGGTCTCATGTATCCTGAATACTGCTAGTCATGCAGTTGTTTTTAACATGAATAGCTGTATCATTCTTGCTATGTTCTTTGTAACATATTACATAGTGCTAACTTCTTACTGGTCATTCATCGTTAGCTTAGTCTAGCTGCTTAGCTGGCTCCTTGACAGCTGTATGTTACTTTGGAGAAAACCATCTGGTAAATAAATCAATGCAAATAAATACAAATTGCAGTCAGGAGAGACATCAAAGCAATGCTCAGGATTCTCGGAGCAACAGAACTGACCCTGACACCTGTGGTCAGCTGGTTCACTCTCCTGAAACATACAACATCTCACGTTTGTGTTGTTCACAGTGCCAAAAAAAGATGGAGAAGGTCCTGCAGCTAAGCACCCCACACTGAAGCTTACCTGCCTCTTGTAGGTCTCCAGCTGGGTTCGAGCCGCATTGGCTTTGCGTAGCTCCTCTTCCAAGCTCACGGTGTTCTGCATGTAGGTCATGTTCTTCTCCTCAAGAACCTTCACCTGCCGCCGCAGGTCGCTCAGGTCTTCCAGCTTCTTCCTGTAGGTCTCCACTGAGGCCTCCAGCTTCACGGCCCGGTCAGAACAGCTCCTGTACCCAGACCGACGGACAGACATGGTTCACCTAGAGGAAAGCGTCCTGTGTTTAGAGCATGCGGGCTTGGCCTTGGCGCGCCAGGCAGACCTCAGGATGTCCAGCTCATCCTTCAGGGAGCGCGACTCCTCGGCCAGGCAGGTGAGCTCGTCGTTGCGGTGCTGCACCTCCACCAGCTGCTTCTCCAGCTCCTCGCAGTGGATGCGGTAGTCATCCTTCGCAGCCTCTAGCCTGATGGGGTCAAAGACACGTGCTACAAGCCAGGCACAAGGTGACTCGTATTTATGGCCCATTATCAACACCAGATACAGCAATAATACAACGTGACTGCCGGATCAGACAAAAACAATACATTCATTGCCAAATTACCGTCATATATGAATAAATAGAGAAAAAAAATTAACCAGTATTTTGGCAGGTGTTGTGGTCAAAAACAACCGACAGCATGGACAATTCAGATATCACGTCTTAGCAGGTTAAAAGAACTGCAGGTTGTATTGTCCCCATGAGCAGATCAAGATGCCCATCTCCTAGGAGAAGTACCTCACCGCCCCAGGTTCAGTCCACAGAGCAACATCAGTGATGTCACGTTGGAAACCAGTGAAAGTTTCGCTGTCAGTCTAAGGGTGTGATACAAGCTGTCCTGGCCTGCAGAAGGCTGAAGCAAGGTCAGTACCTGAAGTTCTCTTCCTGAAGCTGCTCCAGCTGGAATTGGAGCTGGCAGTATTTCTTCCCCGACGGCGTACTGGGGTCGTCGAAGGAGTCCAGCTGGCTGGATCGGTCCGTCAGCAGGTCGTTCTCAGCCAGCAAGCTGTTCCTCTCCTCCTGGAGCACGGCCACCTGACCACAAAACACCGGCCGCTTCCTCAGACTCAGGCTCACGCTACCTGTTCCTATCGTTTGACTGGAATCACAAACAAAATGTAAGCACACCAAATCGGAATGATCAAGCGGTCTCTGACCACAGATTGCATGTTTCCTGGACATTATTCCCATCACCCTTTACACCTTTAAGTGTGTTTGTCCGGTCAACGGCCTCCGAAATCACCTCATATATGCAGCCGGCGAGACGCAGTTCTGGTGTGGTTACGGGAAGGTGCACAAAGCAGAGGTCCATACATCAGTCGTGAATGTATCCCAATAAAAAGTGACATGGAGACGCCCACGCACAGTCAGGCATTTATGCACCTTTATCAGCCAGAATAATCTCAGGTTTGAGCCTCAGATTACATACCAGTGGCCTGTACTACGAAGCGGGGTTACTGGCTCATCGGGGTAACTTGTCTGATTTAAGGTACCACAGTTAAAATGGACTTCATATTCGTTCACTTACACCTTGCCCAGACTACCTTAAATCCGACAAGTTACCCCGATAAGCCAGTAACCCCGCTTCGTAGTACAGGCCCCAGATTACACAATGGGGGGTGGGGGGGCATTTAGCATCCCAAGGGAGAATTTTAAAAGAAATCTGTTTGACAGTCTCATATTATGCATTTGTCATTTTCCAGAATTACATGGAATGCATTATTGTTGGATAATAATGCATGTTTTTCCAGGATCTGTTACTTCACAGCAGATTTGAGGTCCAGCCACAGCTGGCTGCTCTGTACCACCACCAAAGAGCCAGAGAAGAAGCTACCTCAGCAGAGCTGCAGCACAGAACCTGGTCCCACAGCACCAGGCCTTAGCATGCTCTAAGCATCAGCATGCAGCAGCGCATCCACAGGATGCGACTTCACTAAAGTCAGCGACGTTATGGTACAAAGCACTGTCAAGCTGCGGATTTTATTCATAAGACGGACTTCCCCCACTGAAAACCCTTCAAAACTGGCCAATTCAGGCCACACCTCCATAAAATTAACACAACCACTTTTGTGTCCTGCAAATTGGGAGTTACACGCTAAAAGCCCGGAATCGGATTAGCGCTGTTAACGTGGCTCCATTTACACCACCATGTTGCAGGAGAGAGACATTAAAAGATCACAATGATGAAGATGTCACGTGTTAGATGGTTTATGATCATGGGACAGGAATTAGGAAGATGAGTCAACACCCACGGATGCTCGGCGTTTAATGCAGGAAGACAACAGCGATATTGTTTAGGCCACCCTTGGTCCCCGGGGCCCTGTTAGCCTTGTTAGTGGCAGTCTGGCTGGATAATGAGCTTCTACTTACCGCGTGACCTTGATATGGGGACTGAGTTGTAAAAGTCTTATAAATGAAATCTGTCAAGAACCATCAGATGAATCAAATGCGTCAAGAGTCAGCCAATGTATAAGCCACATCAGGATGCTATTAATAAGGCAGTAATCAAGCAGTTTGTGCATCATTCTCAAATCCTTTTAGGATAATATTAGGACACACAAATAAGCATTTCCGCACTAAGGCGTAACATTGCGTTGAACACTGGGGGGGTTGAGCTCATTTAAGGAAGCCTAGGGTTTTGTATTTGGTGGTTTTTGTATTTTATGCCAATGTTTCCTTAACAAAGGTGGTGATTACATGCTAAGGGGTTTGAAATACACCACATGCTGAACAGGGCCGTTGTGTTTACCCCCGGATGCGGCGGACCCACCTGAGTGTCCAGCTCAAGGCACCTCTTGGCCAGCTCTTCCTTCTCAGATGCCAGCTCCGAGAGGTCCTCCAGCGCCTTCTTCAGCTGAGGACCACAGCCACAAGTCCGCATCAGGCTTACGGCACCAGGAGAGCCGGGCGTCAAAATCTTCATGGCGCCGTGCGAGTACCTACCTGCTGCTCTATGTCCAGCAGAGGGTCCACTCCAAACTGTGACATCTGTTCCTTATTCATTAACTGGCAGATACAAACAATACAATGATCACTACTTACTGTGGTTTTATGATGACGAATGGCACAAAGGTTAAAAGGAACCTGTCAAGGCCACAAATGTTTGGAACCTTTGCTAAAATAAATCCATGTTTTTTCAGTGCTGTTGGAAGGTCAACATACTAGCGGTTGTGGCATAAATAATACAACTGCATTTCCCAGCATCCACTGCACAGGCATAACAAAATGTGTCATATTATGAGAGCAGCATTCAGGCCTCTCTTTCTGCAGGGTAACATCTCCAGAAAGTGAGTCTCTGTCTGACAAAAGCATTCCTTCTCATTTCTGTTCTCTGAATGGACACATTGTTTTCTGAGACAGTTTTCTCATTTAAGACAAAATCACCTCCTGAATGGCTGTCATCACGACATGCTGCACCGACTCTTCCAACGTCATGATGATCTGGATATATTCTGCAGACAGAACAGTCAGTAATTCAGGGAACAGGTCTATTTTATGAACACATATTGGCTAAAGTTTGCTTACATACACAACAAATCTTATTTACTTAAATAACAAATTTAGCTTTTTTCCATAGTATTTACTGGCATGCAAACTTGTAGCTCCATATAATTGTCAGTAGCAGTTTACAAATTATTCAGATTATTCTTGTTTTTTTTTTTTTACAGAAAGTCCTTACACTGACATTAGGAACAAAAACATTTTAAATCAATTTAACTGTCCACAAACCTCATATAAAACACTATCAGAAAAAAATGGTACAACCCTGGTACAGTTTCGTTCCCCAAGGTAGAAACAACATTAATGTTCCCCCAATGGTATAAGAATGTCCCTCAGAGTCCATTGCAGTACCTTAAATTAGACTAAAAGGTACATTAACGTACAGCTAGGGTACAATTGGCAGAGCCTTGAGGGTACAGTCCCAGTGACAAGTAATTGTACCCTCAAAGGAATAAACTGTTTTTTCTGACAGCTAAATGAGGCATGACAGAAGAATTCAAAGACATGTAAAAACTGAATGTATTAAACTAATGAAGATTATACGTTTCAAATTCATCCTATACAACCTGATGCATGTCCCACACATGTTATAAACTATAAAGCCTATATTTTAAATATCACCTGTTATATGTAAATAAATAACATCCAATTCACCATTCCTAAATACAAACCCAGTTCCGTTCAGTAGCTCCCCCAGAATTCCCATTAAAATTTCAGGTTACCTTGTTTTCTCTCGCATTTAATAGCGCAGCCCAGAACCAGCTGCAGGAGACGACCCAGTTCCACGGGGTCGGAGTGCTCAGCCACGCGGACCAGATCCGGAAGCGGGAAGTCAGAGATCTGCTGTGCCAGGACCTGCCATTGTGCAGAATCAAAGGCACATTCTGTTGCTCAAGTTAAATGCACCACTAGTATACAATGATTATGGGAAAAAAAATAAACGTATATATATATATTGAAAGATGATATACAGTATATATTATAAATATGCTACACAATAATTTATCTCCTGCTACACATTTATGTTGACACATGTCCTAAATGTCACAAATGTTGAAATGTTGGACTTTCTGGTTCCCAGCAATACAAACAAGTCGATCTGTACCGCCAGCATTTTACAGGAAGGGCGCTGGACCACATTCAGCCATTCAGACTGGAGAGCTTCACCCAGGGATCAATGAAGTTCATCTTATATTATCGACTCAGATGAAGGTCATGGCAGCACGACGGCAAAATACATCTTTGGAGAGTGACTGCCAGTAATTACTCAAACTCGCATTACGTATATTTTCTATTTCTTAACATAAGTAATGTGCCTGTATCCTTTACTGAATGATTTTAAAGAATTCATTATTGTATTAAAGAATGAGGGTGAAATAAGATGCTTACCTCATTATAGTAATCCACCACCATCTGAAGAATCTTTTTTAGGTTGTTCATCTGTGTAAAATTAAAAATAAATCACTAACTGCTGTTTTCCAAATAATAAAATGGTAAACAAAAAAACACTGCATTTTATAGTCCTAGGAGGACAACAAACTTTGTTGCCTTAAGCAATATACTGAAGGGCTTGAATAGTGAATGTGCTGAACTAAACTGCACAGTTTAGTATAAATCTCACAAAAATAACATTTGTGCTGAATGTACAAACTGTGGAGTAAAAATACTTGTCTCCAGCAAAATTTATACACAACTGACCGATTAAAATAAAATCATGAAGAAACATCAATGAGAGTGAGGAGATTGTGCTATTCTGTCCGCAGGGTGAGTTGGGGGCAGTGCGCACCTCTGCATGTTCAGAGGTTGTGCCCATGATCAGAAGGTCACAGGTTTGAATCCCAGAATTAGCAAAGTGATTCCACAACTGGGGCCGTCAACAAGACCATTAATCCTGCTTCCTCCATTGTATGTAGCTTTGGATAAAACAGCATCTGCTAAGCATGTAAATGTAAGTTCCTCTCCAATTTACTGTGAAGAGCAACATCAGTGATGTCACGTTGGAAACCAGTGAAAGGTCTGCTGTCGGTCTAAGGGTGTGATACCTTTAGCCTCCAGTTTTCAGAAACATCCTCCTTAATGCGAGTCAGCCAACTGTCATTGAACCACGCAGGGTCTCTGAAAAACAGGTGCCAGTTAAATACTGAAAGCACATTTTAAAAAAATACCACATGCAGCTACCCGCTAATAATTAAACACAAAATTTATCTCAAGTTTTCCAAGTTTCAGGATGGACATTTCAGCTGTAAATCGTTTCATCAAAAGCAAGTAACGTGTGAAAGACAGTCAACGTTCATCCACGCCAAACAATGGGCAAAGAATGTACTGATAAGTTAGGATACAAACCACATCTTTTCCCTGTACAGGGATGACTGCCATAAAGAATGTGTTTCTTCATTAAATCTTCATATTTCTATTGTCCCACTGTAGGGTGCGTCTTTTTCCGAAATGCATTTTTCCATCACATTAGCTAAATTTAAAGAGCTGAGTTAAAGAAAAAAACTAGCCAAGATATATCCTTAGAATGGAAGCTTGTTCTTCAGTCATTGCTTCAGTCTCCACTCTTCTCACAACATCAAAGATTTTTTAATCACTTGACTGACTACAGTGTAAAATCAGAGCATTTCTCTGTCCAGTCCTTTGCACAATCTGACTTACTGTCCATGTCCTTTGCATCGCATAGTCTAAATGACATTAAAACCAACTTGATTTGAGTTAATTAAATTCTGCATCCTATTGCAATGTGATTTAAATAAGCTACAAAGCTTCGGAGCTACGGAGACCTGCTTCCTATCCTGGAGTTAGAATAATAGTAAAGAAATTTCCTTGGGTGAAAGTTTAAGACATATGATTACCTAGCTGGCCACATTTAGGTAAGAAAGCCAGGAAATCGCCCAAATGAGGTTCTCTCTTTTCCTAACAGAAGGGGGTGTACAGTATCCATGACAACACCATGGTGACCTCCCACAACCATAAGGGACTCACATTTGATGAAGAGCCTGAGAAATGGCCACTCCTGTAGTCAAGTCCTGTATTGTCTTGCAGGATGAAGGGGTGTTGAAAGTCTGTAACTGGAAAAAATTAAAAATAAAACATTCTACTACTGCATTCTTGTACCAATAACCACAGCTAATGTGTGACAGGTAGAGTCTCCCCCCCCATCCCCCCAATAATTCTGGGGCTGCGGCTATGAATTGCTATCTGTGTGTACTCATACTCTCATCATTGTCCTTCAAGTACGTTCCCTACAAAATACAAATGTATTAATTTAAATCCAAATGTGCTATTCAGAACCACCATGACCGTGTGCTGCACATAGATAAATTTGCTTACTTTGATTTTAATGATAAATAGACATCACCACTGCAACAAAATCACCAAAATGACCAATACCACATCAATTATGATCAGACCTCCAACAGATCAACCCCTGCAAAACAAATGGCTCAAATAATTCACAGCTGCTGCCAAATTCAAAGTGAGACTCCTGCTTCCGTGAGTTACAGCACTGGCACCCCCTCAGACCCATACAAGATCCAGCTGGTGAATTCACCACTAACATGTACAGATGCCCTGGTGCACTTCTGAGGTATCTGAAGCCATATTTTGATGCGTGTAAAAAATGACTCACTAACTGAACAGGGAGAAATGACAGCAACACCTAGCAACATGCATAGACTCGTAATTTACACGTCTTTCACAGTGGCCGCCTTCCCTATGTGCAACTTATACGTCCTTGGCAACAACCCACCAGGGGATGCTCGACACCTGTCATTTATTAACCAACAGTCACCAAAACGCGTGTCTTTCGGCCGATCACTGACGAAATATCTAACTGGTGCCTAAGTTTAAAAGCACATTCTGGTGGTAGCCGGTTATACGTAAATATTTAATTCATCAATAGGTATTAAGACGCAGGTACTTGTGAAAATTAGGTATAGGCTGGCATAGCATCATCAGATATGAAACTGCCAGCCATTCAGCAGCGTCTTTGCTAAGAGTGCAAATATGTACGTCGTGCAGGACCAGAAACTGGAAAGCGGCATAAAAATCCCTATCCTGCAAATTAAAAAAATAATAATAATAAAATAAAATGGTCATTTACGGGCACGTAAATGGCACATACGGCACATACAGTATACTATGTAGCTACCGCAAGTTAGAAGACGCTACCTGCGACAGGTAAACGCTCTGGTAGGTTAGGTTAATAAGATTAAAACCGCGATACCGACGCCGACAGCCTCAGCTAGCCGATTTCTGGCCACTGTAGCTTGACCCTGAGCTTACCCAAATTATTAAACTTTCGCACAGGACTGTCTTGGAATCCATTTCTTCCCGGTAAATGTTTCCGTGCACCTGTCAACAATGCGTCTTTTCCCCTCTTCGCTGGCTTGACCTCACCTAAGGGGAGGAGGGGCGTGTGCGCTCGTGTGCTTTCTAACGTAAAAGACGTATGGCCCCTGCGTGTTCGCAGCACTGCCTTGCTAGAATGCCGTAGCGTTTTCTTGAATAGATTTCGCGCTCGCGCTAGGACATTTCGTTCGGAGGGGGATTAGAGGAGTGACGAAAAGAAAAGTCAGATATTGACAAGTGAACAGCCAATCACAACTGGTCTCAAGCTACAGAACCTATCCAATCGCATTCTGGATCACGTGAATAATGGTCCAAGGAACGCCAATCAGAGCCTTCGCCTTCCCGTGCAGGTTACATCAGTTTAAAATACTTGGGATCTCTTTCTGTACTCCTTGGCATGCAGAAATTTGAAGTTGTCTTGAAGTGTATTAATACTTTTACTTTGCGTAAAATGTGATCTCTACGCTAGTACATCGTGGAAGAGATCGCCTCTGGCTTTTAGTGTTCTCGAAAAAGCACTCTAACAGTTGCTGGTTACGCGCCCTTGTGTTGTGTGCATTTATGACAGTAATATAAGAATATTTTTTCTTACCAGTTGAGTACCTTTTTAAAAAAGCAAATATTACGTTCTGTTTTACATGTAGCTAATTTATTGAATGCAGTCATCAAAACATTGCTTTTAATGCTGTAGTGATGCACATGCATTTTTTTTCTTTACACATTCGTTTGGCTTCGGTCACAGCGAGAAATTAATTATCCAGTATTTCGATCAGTGTTGACCTTGTATTTTTTTTGTCCCATATAAATTAGCTATTTTTCCAGGATTTCAAGCTGATGACTGAGTTCCCTCTCATTAGTTTTGACAGGTTATGTTGTTCATAAAGGTATAAATTGAGGGATGGCAGTATTGATGGAATATTAACTGGCCTGTATATCACATGTGGTTTAATTCTACAGTACAGTGGTTTTTCATTTGTTGAGGAGACCCAGGAGAGCATACATATAGTTAAAATATAGGGTATAGCCAACAAACAGTTGAAATATTCAAAACGATAAAATATTTGTAAAATGGGTAAATATCTAAGCAATTAAGACATCGAATGACACTGAACGGCACTGGACTTTATGCTTGCTGAATTTCCCAATATCAGTGTGGTGACATCTCCAATTCCAGTGTTGAACTTGAATCAGACAGATCTGGTAGTTTATTCACCTTTTCCTGACCAGCTATATATTCCCCACTTCGATCAATGCATGCTATTTTTAGACAATTTGACCTTCTAGTCTGACCAAAAAGTGCTAAACAAATATTTACAAAGATATTTTAGTAGAACTTGGATCAAATGGGGCAGGACCAGCCATGGGTGTTCTGGTGCCCGGGGCGTTTCTAGCTGTTTCAAAGATCAGAGGCTAAGTCAAGTTTACCTGGGGCTCGACTCATCTTTTTGAAGGAAGTTTGACATCGGGGCTAAAATACTGAGGGCTATAGCCCCGAGTGATCGGACCTAATGACACCCATGTCTGGAACCCTAGGCAAGATTCTGCTGAGTGCCCCCACCCCCAGAGCAGCAGAAAACAAATTTTATCGTTTATCATGAAAAACATTTCAGAAACACGGGGTATCTGGCTGCTAACTAGCTCACTGGCATCTGTTTCACAAGAATAGTAGCAAAATGTTCAAACTAGTGTAAATGACTGTAATATCATGTATTTTTTCTGGTTTTCTTCACTTGCTCTTTAGCACCCCCTAATCAAATGGCAGCCTTCACCTCACCTATGATGCCTATAGGGCAGGCCTGCCCTGGAATGGGGGACGCGTCTCATGATAGAGAATTTACCGCGAGTAGTTACCATAAGGCAAATGCTCCATTTCGATCGCTGGCTGACTAGAGTCATGTTGATGAAGGTATCTGGTTTTAGTGCATTTATAAGTTTTATGAGATGTTGATGTAAAATAACTTGAATCCTTAATAAATTTCACCAGGTGTGCTGACTGCAGCAGAGTCAGAATCCATTTCATCCACCATCTGGCAGCTGCGCACGGTTCAAGATGCAGGCACCAGCAATAAAAGTGGGATTATTAGGAGCTGAGGCTTTCAGTGATTTGTGAAGTTTATAAAGTTGCATTTGGTGCTGCTGGAGGCAGGGATGGGGGTCAGGGCAGGCCAGCAGGCCGAGTTAGCCATGGACCTGACTAGTTTTAAACTCAGAAAAATAGATCTTTAAGTTCAATTTCACGAGTGGGATTAAATTTGGAAATAATACATTGAACAGATATTGCAATATCTGATCCTTTGAGCAGAGCACTAAATCTATGGTTCTGGAAACATTTCTATTCTTATCATATTATTATATACATTACACAATAAAGACAGATACCTCCTCTACTTTAAATTTCTAAACCTCAGGCTTTTATGAATCGCTATGGTGCTGTATGGGAATACCACCGGAAGGACTGGAAGATGAAAAGTGAAATTGCTGCTTTCATTACTTGCAGGAACTGGCAGTAAGCAAGCTGTATGTCCCTGCTGCAATGGAATCCCTCTACTGTGTGCATTCTTATGTGTGAATATGTGAATAATCAAATACATGTTTTATCATTCAATGGGAGAACCTCTTTTTATAGATATATTTTCAGTTGGACACTGATTTGTGTGAACATAAAGTAAATGATTGGTCATCTTACATTAATTCTTTGGTCTAAACTGCTTTGAAAAAAGAAGGCAGGTTTATGGGTGTGTTAAATTATTTATTAGCCACATTACCGAAATAAAGCTTTGAGCAGGAAATCCAAGCAAATGCATTTAAACTATATACTTTATAGAATTAAGTCATTTTGACATTAGACTCATTTTATTTGGACCATAATCAATTAGACAGAAATGGTTCAGCTCAGTAAGGGATTTGGCTGTTCTACATGTGAGTACAAGTCTGCATTTCATTACTAGGTCAACAAAAAGGTCTGCTTGGCTTAAAGAGATCTTGCTAATCATTAACTGGCCAGTGGGATTTATTGGAAGCAGAGACACTGTCATGTAGCATTTGCTACTGTGGCTTGAATTGAGGGACAGTGAGCTACCTGGACTCGGAGCTGTGCACCCCTGCCACGACTGTCACAGGCGGTAAGTGTGCTGCTCCAACTTTGCACCCAAAATCGGGAAAGTTGTGTACCTCTTATTGTGACTGTTGCTTTGTATATGAGCAGAGAAAGCCAGTTTGTATGGATAGGTTACAGTTTTTAAAGAAAATAGACACATTCAGCTGTGAAAAAATGTCAGTTTGGTACATTATACATGTCTTACATGGGAGAATAACAGAAAGACAGCACGTCTACAGCAGATATATACAGGTATATATACACATACTGTTGTGTCACTATGGCAACATAACGCCAGTTTCATGCTAGATATATTTGCATTTGTTTCATGTCATAAAGTCTAATTATTTTTTATAGAATTTTATCACTTTTAGATGATGCCTTAATATTTTCACTATAATTTCACACTAATGTCATTTAAGTAAAAGCTGCTTTGTTCATCATAATTCCTCAGAACACATATGTATCGTTCTACATAACCAAATACTGAATGCTTTGTTGATTTACTGAAAGTGTGAAATCAGACCATTTGTCAGTACAGAACTGCTGGTTCTGTTTGAGTGAGATGCCCTCTTGGTTGCATAAAGCTCCCCACGGTGTCTGGAGAGTGGGACAGTCCGACTGGAACAAGAGGGCAGGATGTGGCCCCCATCAGAGCAGGCATGGGCTCGAGGTCATTTCTCCAGCGCCAGTAGCTGTAAGGTGAGAGTCTCGGTCTGGTATCACTCACCTACAGCATTGTGTCATGTAGGGGTCAGAGGTCATATGATTTCAAAATCCTCAAGGCAGCAAGTGCAACTGGACAGTTATAGCAGATGGGCTTTGCTAGGATCAATATAAACAGATGCCTTCAATAAAGTTTTGCTGTCTGAAAAAATCCAATATTCATTTCGCACATTACAGCATTGATCACACTTTAAAGCCCCCATCTCTGAACCCTTCTGGCACCACATTAAATGTTTACACCCCAGAGACCTCATGGTGTTTTTCCAGCTGAGGAACACAAAGGCTTTGCTTGGGTCAGCTCGGATAAAAGCGGTCACGTTCACTTTTCACATTATCTGACCATTCACCGCTGCTGTCTCTCCCCGCCGCACAGAGCCCTCCCCAGTGCTGCCTTCCCGGGCCACAGAGAGACTGGCACTGCCCAGTGTGCCTGCAAACCCCCACTTTCCCCATCAGAACCAACTGTGGCCATCTTTATTGCGGTAAGCTCGTTTCGGGGCCACCCCGGGCAACTCCTGGCTATTAACATTTAATGCACCTTGGGAATAGACTCAGAATGTTCAGTAAAGAGATTCATATAGATACTATGCTCTTATGGATATAGATGGAAGAGCAATCAGAAAGGTGAATACTCAGAGGCGGCTCGAGACATTTGAAGTAGTTGGACATTTTTTGGACAGAGGATCCGGAATGAACTGGCCATTCTCAATAATGCTCTTATCCTGACATTGTGGGCACTATAAACATTAATGGCTGACTCCTTCCTACATGTGAGTCTCCACTCGGAGCACTTTGCACAAAACTGTTAATAAGCACTACCAAATAAACCATCCTACCAGGTCCCTAAAGGTTGACTACAGAAAAAAGCAAAAAAAAATTATGAACAATATATTTGAGAATTTCAGTTTATAAATATTAGTTAGTTCTGCTTTGAAACTCCAGCATTTATACATGTAATGTTCACAAAGATGCTCCCTGATTCACAGCAGAGGTGTGGTGTTGCCTGGGGCCCCGAGCTGGGGGGGGTCCCCAAGGACGGCTGATTTACATAGTACATTGCAAATCTGCTTTATTTGTGTATTCTGTTTTCCACAAAAGTGAAAATAAAGGACTTATGTTTATTACATTCTCTTTGTTGATATTATTCATTTAGACTAAAATAAGAGTAATATATTTGACCATGTTGCGAGAGAGTAAGTTGGGGCCCCCAGAGTCCTAAGAATTGCCTGTGAGTCACGATGGTGAGCATCCACTGTGAAGAAGCAGACAGTACCTCCGAAGAACAGCACTGAACCATCTGTGTGTTTATATCAGACCAATCAGGGTTCTTGTGATGGAAACACTGGCTGTCATTATAATATCAATGCTAATCTGCGCTCTCGAACCCGCAGCTCCTTGCTTGATAACGTACTGGAAGCACGAGTCCTGGTTGGGTGCTGTTAGCTGCCCGCTGTGCCGGCAGAAGGTAACAAAGTTCACGGGGCCTCTGGGATTGATTTTCTGGCTGAGTTTGAGACATGCATTTACTTACCATTCTGATTGGTTGGACCTGCTGCATTTCACTGTATAAGGGACACAAGAAACAATCTCTTCTCCTGTGTGTTTCTGTGGGTCTGTTCCAGGTCAGCATTCTCCACCATCTGTTTACGGAGAGCAGGATGGACCGGCAAGTGAACGACGTGCTGGCAGACATCAGATACTACAACAAGCGCTTCTCTGGGTCACCGCGACAGGTACAGCAGATATGAATAAGGTGCTGGAAAGAGGCACCATCTACCAGGTCATGTGGGCAAATTAGTTAGTTACATTTAACCAGTGGCTCTAAATGTCACCAGTATAGATGTCTTCTAGGATATTTAGTTAGGGAAAGAGTTAGACATGGTATTAAACTGTGTTATAGTATAAACAGACAGTATGCATCGGTACAGCTTTTAATAGTGCTGTCATTTTTCAAGGGACTCTTAGAAAGTCATGTTTGCAATTGTCAGAAATATTCTGGTTTATTGCAGATAGAAACAAAACAGGTGCAGTGGTGCCTGCAGTTTGTGAACACGTGGTCTACGAACAATTTGGTTCATGACCAAAAATCTCGTGAAAAAAATGCTTTGTTTCGGGTACAAAATTTGGTTGACGAACAGGTTCCCCGACCAGATTCCTTTTTTTATACTAGTGTAGTAAATAGAAGGAACACAACAGGCACCCAACAAGCACCAAACCCAAATACACAGACGGGAAACACAAGGTTGTCAGACGCCGAACTGCAAGATGCACACACGATTGAAATACACACGCTAAACACACACGAGGATCAGACACACAAGACATGAGCAAATACACGTGCAAGAACAGGGAAACGCAACCATTAACATTAACAATAATTCAAGGGTTAAGGACTGTTAAAGAGCGTGATTTCCCAGGCAAGCAAGTCTCCATGTCTCTCTCTGCTCCCGCGATGCCTCAGTCCGCCCGTCGCCACACTATATTGTGTTTTTCTCTAAAGTTTCTATTATAAAAGCCAGCCAAATTAATTAACAAAAAATATTATTTGGTAGGCTTGTGAACGAATTAATCGAATTTCAGTGCAATCTTATGGGAAAAATTGCCTTGGTTTGCGTACAAAATGGGTTCACGGCCACTTTCCTGGAACGGATTGTGTTCGCGAACCGCAGGCACCACTGTACATTTTAGTTTGTGTGGATTAATCCTTGTTACTGTTCACGGTCATTGTATATGTTGCTGAAAGGCTGGTCTTTGGAGGAACAGCAATACTGGTACAGCTTAGCTGTTATTCTAGCTCAGATCAGCCAGATTGTCTGGCTCCCTGTTCCCGGATGACAGCTGAGGTCAGAGAGTGCATACATGATTTTCAGAGTCACACGAGGCTCGTTCAGAGCCCCATACCTCATCACTGCTGCTTCAGTGCCCAGTTGACACTGCTTGCCTAATTAAATGACACCTCACAGCACCGTGTCGAGTTATTGCATCCTGGGTAGGGTAAATGTGGGAATGGTGGTTACAGATAATATTTATCTAGGCAGGTCATGATGTCCTTGGAGCTGAGTGTCTGGTGGCTTTCCCTCAGGTGACCGACTACCTGTATGATGTGCCACGCTTCCTGGGCCTTCTCCTCCGCTCCCTGGGCAACCTGGGCGGCTTGGTGGGGCTCTTCCTGCTCCGGGTGACCGTGTGCGCGTTCGGGGCCGTCACTGCTATGGCCTCATCCCGGGAGGCCACCTCGGAGCCCTTCTTTGGACTGCTGGGCCTGCTGGATGACGTAGCGGTGGTCTCCCTGCTCCTCATTTCCGTTGTCAACATCAGACAGGAAATGAGGTCACGCGGGGGGGGCGGCCATCACACAAACTTCAGCATGTCCTGAGAGAGACCCGGTTACCTCGCACTCCACCACTACCAACAGCTCTGCAGGACGTCCATAAGTGAACTTGGCTTATGGACCAAAACAAAGGTTTCCCGGCTGAGGAGTATACAGATGGGTGTAACAGAATGCCAGGGCTGCTACTGAAGACTCACAACAGGGGTGACTGCTGTAGAACACTGACCCAGAAGAGGACAGCCTTCTGAAATCAGTCCATAAATCAGACAGAAGCCAAACCAACTGAATAATTTATTTGAGGGAAAAAAAACTGTAAATGTTTTAAACAGCTAAAGAATTAAAGAAGAACCTAGTCTTTAGTTACTGCTTATATATCTTTATAGATGCATGACCTTGTGTTTATAACTGTGGTGTAAAGATAAATGTGTTTGATGTTGAAACTGTACTTCTGTAAATAAGTATAATGATAAAGATCCATATTTATGACCCTGGAGATCTATGCTGTCACGTTAACAAATCGTCCTTCCCGGCACACGCAAGTCAAACACTCTGGCCACTGCTCATTACGAAACTCTGGAGTTTCGTCCTCACTCTTCCGAGACAAGCAGGGCAGTTCTTTCTGGATGACTGCAGACCACACCAGACACACCCTTAAATAAGAGCCGGCTCTGCTTGAACTCTGACAGACAGCAGATGTGCATCACTGCCAGTTACTGATTTAAAACCACACCCAGACCTTGATCAGGAAACATGAGATGATGGTAAACGCATGAGAGTTTAATGACAAAAACGTGCCACACGTCCGCTACCCTGTTCCTGTCAGCGTTCCCCGCCGACGAGCCCTCACAGAGTGAATAAATAACTGCCGGTCTGTTCATCTGAATCATTTCTAACAACAACCACCGTTGCAGAAACAGGCAGACTGCCAGCGTTTGAGACTGAACAGTACCAGCTACACAATTATCAATTCTGTGTAAATCAACAGAATTTATTTGATGAGGGGAAAATAGAAAATTGCCTGCTTGACATTGATTTAGCCGTAGGCAGCTGTTGTCATGCTGACACCCACCTAGAAGGACAAAACGCACAGAAACTCATTTTTGCTGCTCTAATTTTATATTGTTTAACAGACTATGAAACAGCTATGAAACGTTGACAATGTATCTAATTTCCACATTCACCAGCTTATAAATGCCCTTCCAGAGCCTATAGCTTACACTACGTACAGATACAGGAAGTAACAGTGTGTAAATAAAAAAAAACAATGAATCAGCTGTAAATATATCACCTTGCACAATCTAATCAGGTTAATATCAGGAGACAGACACAGACAGCAGCTCTTCCATGGTGACTAGGCCTTATTTACTTTGGGGAATTCCAGACCAAAGGTACGGATAATGGGAGTTAATATTCTTAACCCTGGATTACTATTGTATTGAAGTACCGGGTCCTGCGCATACAGGGAGGCACATCAGTAACAGCGACAGTGGGAAGCTGGCATCTCACACATCAATCTAACATTCGTTTTCTAAATTTGAATTGGGCAGCACCACCCAACCCCACCCCTGCATCCTCATTGGACGCTTTGGCACCAGGCAGCGGCGTTCCGGAACATGCTGAGCCAGGGCAAGGCCGACAGGGATCGGCGCAGGGGTCCGGGCGCCCAAGCCCACTGCCACGGCAGCACCGTGCGCTCCGGGTGCGGCATCATGGCTAGGTGGCGGCCGTCCGCAGAGCACAGGCCCGCGATCCCCTGGGGGGAGCCGTTGGGGTTGAGCGGGTACACCTCAGTGGGGGCCCCCAGGTCATCCGTGTAGCGCAGAGGGGCCAGACCCCCATGGAGAGCACGCTCCTGGACCTGGGGGGTCCGAAATTGTACCAGGCCTACGGGGAGGAGGCGACATAAGGGTGATTTTTTTAGAATAAAAAAAAACATCAAAGCTCGGGGTGGGGGGGGGACTCACCCTCGCCGTGGGCGACCCACACACCCAAGCAGGAGCCCTCCATGCCCCTGAGCATCACGGCGGGCGACGGCAGGATGCACACGCTCACAAAGCGGGACTCGAACCGGGCAGACCGGTTGTGAGTCAACGTCACGTCCGTCTCTGCGGGCAGAACAGCGGGGCGGGAGGAGGGGGGAGGTCAGTGTTTCCGGAATCACGTAGGTCCGCCTGGGAGAGAGAGCCCCGAGGCAAAAAGTCTCTACAGAGTGAGGTTCAGGAGAGAGTGAGGTTCATAGAGAGAGTGACGTTCTTAAAGTGTGAGGTTTAATCAAGAGAGGTTCATGAAGAATGAGGTTCAGTGTAGAGCGAATTTAGTAAAGAGTGATGCTCAGGAGCGAGTGACGTTCAGCAGTGATTCACCACATGTTCATTTTCATTGTTTTGGACTGTGGTTGTGGATCAAAAGTATAGTTAATATGTCAACTCGTTAAAAAGACAACCTCCCTTTTTGAGTCACACTCTGTTTTGTAACCAGAATTTCCTGATTGTCTGTCTATTAATATTTGCTTTCCACACTTTCACACCAGCTTTAAAATTCTGGTAACCAGTGAGCGGTTTGCATAGCACGCCCCCCCCCCCTTACCAGCACCGTCGCCCCCGCCCACCCAGCCCAGCAGGGCCAGCAGCTGGCAGCCGTTACAGACCCCCAGGCTGAGGGTGTCGTCACGTCGCCGGAAGCGCTCAAACTCCGCCCGTGCGTGGGGGTTAAAGGTCACCGTGGCTGCCCAGCCTGAGGACACAGCCGGATTCCCACACAATGTCATTCGGAAACAGCAGGCAGTAAATCCTCAGTATCACTCAATACCGGATCGGATGAAACCCAGTGGGCCTCATTACCGGAACGACAGAATATCAGCACATTCCCAGGTACCTTTAGCTGAGCCCAAGACGTCTGCGTAGCTGAATCCGCCCACAAAGACCACAGCCTTGAATGGGTCCAGGCTGGTGGACCCGGAACAGACGTCCTGCATGGTCACATCCCACACCTGGCAAAAGTGTTCAGACTCTGAAGAGGCTTATTCTGAACACATTTATACCCATATCATATTTATACCCAAGCATTTATACCCATATCATATTTATATATATAATATATATATTGCCAGATATTAAAATAGAACCACAGTTCTGTACAATAAATAGATAAACATATGTTCACATACGTTTGTGGATCTCCATCTGTCACAAGACAGTGGAAGTGTTTGTGACAGATACACAGTGCCAGTCAAATGTCCGGAGTGACCTGCTTTTAATACATTTGTTTCTTTTACAGTTATGCTATTTACCTTATAGTAAAAGGCCTCAAGAAGATGAACTAATACAAATCAAATATTGTGACGGACGTGACAGATGTAAACACCTCGAATGCTTCTCCAACAGTCTCCAAAAGTCTCCACAAGTTCTGGGCACAAGTTGGATACCTTGCTCTTACTCTTTGATCCAGCTCACTCCAAACCAGGTGCATAGGGTTTAGGTCGGGGGGATTGGGGGGGCCCTGGCCATCTGTCACAGCACTCCATCTCTTTCTTTGTTCATAAGATTATACTACATGACACCTCAAGGTGTTCTTAAGGTCATTATCTTCTTGAAAAACAAATGATTCTCAGTAGGCGTGTCCAGACCAGAGGTGGATAGTTCAGTAAAAATCCAGTCACAGATTGGGTTTCAGCCAACCAGTTGAGTATAGAGTCACAACCAGAGTACTCAACTGGTTGGTTGAAACAAAATCTTGGTCTGGATTTTTACTTTTTGGACTTGAACTATCCACCTCTGGTCCAGACTTTTCACTGTTATCGTAAATCTACAAACTTATGCGAAAATTAATGAACATCTGAATGCTTAACATCATCATACAGATGAAAGCAAACAATGATAATATTCAAGCCTGACATCACCCATGTGGTGTGACCCCCTCCTTTAAGCAGCATTGTACCTCAAACCCAGCCATGAACAAGGCGACGGACATCTCCCGGTCACCATTACTGCCCTCCTCTCGTATCACGGCCACCCGGGGAAGTCCCAGCCCTGACCAGAAGAGAACATGTTCACAGCAGACCATTATCAGGGCGTTGGTGGGTTAATGGTTAGGGAAGCGCACTTGTAATTGAAAAATTACAATTGAATCCCCGACCAGCAAGGTACCACTGAGGTACCCTGAGCAAGGTACCGCCCCCAAGCACTGCTCCCCGGGTGCTGAATTAGCTGCACCCTGCTATGTCACAATGTCACATATGCATTAAATGTTGTTGTGTGCTGTGGTGTGTCAACAATGACCACTGATCAGCAAATTCTATCAGCCAGCTTATTAATGGGGGAAACACATTACATTTAAACAGATAATGAGCATCGTCATTGCAAACTCTTCCAGGATGCTGCTCACCCAGCTCCTTGGCGCTGGGCGTCTGCTCGGGGTCAAAGGTCAGCTTATAACACGGTGCCGTCCGGCTGGCTAGGCCCGCTTCCTCCTGCTCCACGCACGGCAGACTGGCCTGCAGCCTCTCCAGCTGGAAGCTGGTGCTTTCCCATAAGTCCCTGAGGCGGGGCAGGCTTTCAGACAAGACCAGCTCTCCACAGACTCGCACTTTGACCTGGAAGGGAAAGATCATAATAAACCAATATAAAAAAAATTACACAAATCAGAAGTTTGTGCAGTAATACACTGCCAATCTCAAGGAGGTGAACAAACCAAAAATGTTCATGAAGATCAGTAGATAATGATGCAGGGCGACAACTTCCACACACAGGTGGCAGAAGTTATGAGCCGAACCTCACCATTGATTCTGGCCCGAATCCACAAGTTCTGCCAATCCTGTGGCAGACGAGGCCGGCATCAGTGTAGCTCTGACACACCCTGTCAGCGTTAGACTCTAATACCTCCAAGATCAGCCCCAGCTCCTCAGAGAACAGGACATCCGTGACTGAAAGGCAGAAGAAGCATCACTCACACATCTAAACACTTCACTCTTGTTATAGCTGTAAGCAGGGCAAGGTTCAAAGGTCAGCACCAACCTCCTGGCCCCTGGAAGGGCAAGTCCACCTCTATCCCACGATTCCCTGCGAAAGACATCTCCAGCAGGCAGGAAATGAGCCCACCATCACTGACATCATGACCAGCATTCAGCAGCCGCTCTAGGATACATGACCGAAGTGAGTCACATGATGCAGGCTAATGTGAATATTAAACACATTTTTAAATGGCAGTTTATGGGATGATATATAATTATCATAATATATAATTATCATGATACTGTAATACATGGCATCACAGGTTAGCTGGGTTAACTGAAGAGTGCACGCTAATTAAATGGAACAGTATGGACAGGAACTGACCCTGGATCAGCGACTGGGTGACGTTGAAGCAGGAGGACAGCTTGTCTGGATCATCCAGGTCGGGGCTGCAGTCACCCAGCTGTCCGTAGCACTGAGACAGTGCAGAACCACCAAGGCGGAATTTTCCGGGACACACGGGGACGTACAGTAGCACGCCTGAAGGGCCGGGGGGGGGGCATGTGCGTTAGGAGGTGCCAGGATGCTGATTAATGCATAGCCTGTCATATAAAATATAAAACGGATGTTTATAGAACGGAAAGTCGATAGGAAGTTATCTGCGAATGACGTGAGTGGCAAACCTTTCCCATCAGGGTCCTCCAGGTCAGGGGTCACAGTGGCAGTGATGTCAGGACACACAGCATAGACGGAGATGACCAGGGAACCTGAGGAAGTCGGAAGAGCCGACTGCGGTCTTAAT